TTTTGTTGCAGGCAATGGGAAGCAGCAACAGAAGGATGCAGCATCTACTCGCGCGGATTTCCCTATTCCTCCACAATGCGGTGTCTACTATTTTGAGGTATCCGGTCTGACAGTCTTATTTGGCTAAATTGCTGCGATTTAGCGTTTTGTGTTGTAGATCACGATTGTACGTGGATTAAAAGGTTGCATGGGTGTGGGTGTGTGCGGCAAATCCGTTAATCTAAACAGATTACCTGGTGGGTGCTATTTTGATTTAAACTTTTAAAAAAATGGTGTCCTCATGTATTTTAGCTCCTTTCTGGATAAACCCACTCTCTTCTTTGTTCGTGAACTTTGTAGCATCCTAGGATGGGACCGAGACTCTTATGGATATCATGGTGATGATGGAAACTTCTTCTCGTCATCCGGCAATGGTGTATCGTACGGACCGAAATTCACTTCTGGCGACGTAATTGGTTGTGGAGTGAATTTAGTGAACAAGACCATATTTTTCACAAAAAACGGTGTGCACTTAGGTACGCTGCTCTTTTTGCGTTGCCAAGCTTGATTTATGTATGCATGCTATCGACTTCAGGTATTGCTTCTCGGGAGTTGACACATATTGATGATCTTTATCCGACTATCGGTCTGCAAACCACTGGAGAAGTTGTGGATGCGAATTTCGGCCAGCGGCCGTTCCGTTTCGATATACGCCCTGAAATGGAGGTCTGAAATGTAGCCCATTGTTTTGGTCACTTCTGAATGAGCGTCATCGTTCAGGCCGCTAGAGCAAAGGTAGCCAACGAAATCCTCTCCATTCAACTTCCTCCTGAAAAAACGGATTGGATGAATAAGTATTTCGGTTTCTTATGTGCTTTGCTGTGGAAAACTTTCAACAGACGTTTTCTTCTAGTTGTGCAATTTCAGACTTGTATCATCGTGGATGGCCTGTGAAGGGTACAGCAAATCCATGGCATCTTTTTGTAATGCCGCTAAACTGGTTCCGGAAGAAGGTGAACAAAGTATTGAAACTCGGAAAGGTGAGCCTATGTGAAGACTTGATGTAATTTGATGGGTAGGCCAAAATCCGTATCTATTATATAATTTTTATGCAACATTCAATGGTGCGGAGCGATGAGCATTGAATTGGTGGCTCGTAGTTTTAGGGTAGGTTATCAGTGTAAGGTTGAAGCTTTGTTCGATTTCGTCTTGAGAAGCACCCACAAGTTCGAATTTGAAATGACAAATGCTTGAATATTAGGCTGACCGCGACAACGATGTCCGCTTACCATCATATTTCAAATTCATTGCCTCTATGCTCACAAAAGGGTCTAGGTCTGAGACATAACTAGGGAAGGTTGTCGACTTTAAATAGAACTTCCATAGAAGGCCTAAGTGTATCGATGAGTTCGGTGTGCTTTTTAGGTTTCAGAAGTAGAGGTTATTAATTGGATTCCCTAGCAGAGTTATGAGCTCCAAATTTGCTTGAGAATAGTGACAATTAGGAAAAAAAGCCTTCATACTTGACCGATGTGCATTGTTTCCACCTCTACGTCTTCACCATTAGGACGATGCACGCCGGTAAAGATGAGCACACAAATGCNGTTATTTTTGCGCTTTACTATTAGGTTGTAAGAAAAGTTTTGGCCGTTCCCGCGCGCGCGTCAGATGAATTCGAATTTTGGCGGCTGCCCATTTAGACTAATCGACATATTGTTCTCCTTAGATGAGTCATTAAATGCTCTTTCTGTCATGACGCTTTCCCCGAAGTTGGAATTTTGAGTTTGGAGTTTGGAATCTTTAAGAGGTTTTTTCTGCATAATAGATAAGATTGTTTTTCAAACGGTTTTACTTCACGAGTTCGAACTTGGTCGAACTGTGAAGGAGGCAGCCACAAACACCAATGTTCCATGGGGAGAAGGCACTGCATCGGAGCGAAGGGTTCATCGCTGGTTTCAGAAGTTTAGAAGTGGTGACGAGTCACTGGAAGACGAAGAGCGAGTTGTTCGACCATCTTTAGTTGATCACGATGTTCTGCTAAAAGTAGTCAAAGAAGGTCAATCTTTGAGAGAGATAACTAAGAAGATGGGTGTCTCCCGCACAGTCGTCGCTGCTCACCTCAAGCAGCTAAGAATGGTGAGGAAGCTTGACAAGGGGGTGCCACTCGAACTCACAGAGCAGCAGCAATGAAAGCACTTAGAGGTTTCAAGTATGCTGTTGAGAAGAATGATGTTGAGCCTTTTCCCCATCGTATTGTAACGTGTGATGAGAAATGGATCCTGTATGATAACAGGAAGCGTTCTGTTCAGTGGATAGGTGTGGATGAACCTCCAGAAGCCTTTCCCGAACCATGTTCACACGTAATGAAGACAGTGATCACGGTTTGGTGGTCCAATGGACTGGACGATGGATTAATCCACTACGCGCTTCTTCCTCCAGGTCGAACTATCACTGCGCAGTTTTATTGTGATTAAATTCACGAGATGTACACGAAATGGGGGCAAATGCAGCCAGCACTATTCGCCACGACCCACTGCTCTTGCTCGGCAATGCGCGACCGCATGTGTCGCAAATTGTCTTCCAGAAGCTGAACGAGCTGCGAATCGATGCTCTCTCCCTTCCACACTACTCAGCAGACCTGCCACCAACTGACTACCATTTATTCAAACATCTGCACAAGTTCCCAAAGGAATGAGTATTCAAAAATCAAGGCGACGTGGAAGCTGCCTTTCTCGAGTTCCTTGAATCCAGATCTCTGGAATTTTATAAGAGTGGGCTAGACAAACTTGTATCATGTTGGCAAAAATGTATGAAATCGACTGGGGCTTACTTTGAATAAAAATGTTCACTGTGAGATGAGTTATGATTTTTTGAAAGTTACTTGATAAAACGGCCAGAACTTTCTTTACAGTCTAATATTTACTATTTATTACATGCTCGAAAGGCACATGAAAATTTGAACAAAAGTCCATGTAATAACGGAGTAAACAAAAAACAAAGGTTTCTTTCTAGTAATTTTTTACGCTTGACTTGACAAGCGCTACCATTCGTTTTCGTCGCACTTACTTTGAACAGAATTGTCAGTATTTGAATTCTATGGATCTTTCTTTACACACTGAGGTGCACCCAAGAGAAATTGCCTTGAAACAGATATGTGTGAAAACCTTTACAAATACCAAGCAACCCAATGAACATCTGAAAAAAAAACAAGATGTGCACCAAATGAACTCCCTATACATGTTTAAAAAGATCTGTGAAGCAAGCTTGTTGTCCACGAAGCAAGCCCGGTTAGTGTGGGCTTTCCTTCCTCTCATGAGAGTTGTATGACCGGCTGGCGTCCGCCTCCTCTTTGGAACAAGCGACACTTTTCTGAGCCCGAAATTTGACGCGGGAGTAACAGGGCAGTACAACCGACGGAACTCATTCGAGGATACACGCGATACAATTCTTGAGCCTTTATAACCTCCTGACAGGCCGTTGTACGACCTGATAGCGCCAGATATGGTATACTACTGGGCTTCGAATTGTCTGTGGGTAGTGTCAGAAACCATTTTTATCGTGAACTGTGCCTTTAGCGGTAAGAGTATTATGTTTAGAACGTGATGTCTCGAAAACTTTGTGAGTTTGCGTTGTTGCATTGTCCTTAAACTTGTCTCACACTTGATGAAGAATCCTCTCTTGTTGACTTTGGGCTTAAAGGAACGAACTCTTAACCTAAAATATCTACCTATCTGGAATGAGTCCTAAGATGTATCAAAAATGTCAGATTCAAAGAAAGCTGAACCTAATGTTCTGATTTGTAGAGATTTTTATTGTAGAGATCCTCGCGCTAGTGCTATCTCGACGCAGTGCAGAGGCCATCGCTCGAATGGAAGATGCCTATCCAGATATCTTCGTCCTTAATAAAAATATAGCTCTTGTGTTGAAATGTCAACAATTTGTAGAGATGGCTGCGGAGATTGCAAAGGCGGTAGGTTGCCTAAGATTTATTTGCGAATCTTTGTTTTAATTCATTCCTACGCTAGGATTCCTTGGCGAAACCAGCGCCCGTATCAAGTTCAAATGGTCAGTCAATGCCGTCGTCATCAGCGGTTACGCCGAGAAGTAAGCGCTCTTAATGCTTACTTTGCACGATTGATTTGACTTCACATATTTCTAGCAACTCACTNAAATATAGCTCTTGTGTTGAAATGTCAACAATTTGTAGAGATGGCTGCGGAGATTGCAAAGGCGGTAGGTTGCCTAAGATTTATTTGCGAATCCTTGATTTAATTCTCTCCTACGCTAGGATTCTTTGTCGAAACCAGCGCCCGTATCAAGTTCAAATGGTCAGTCAATGCCGTCATCATCAGCGGTTACGCCGAGAAGTAAGCGCTCTTAATGCTTACTTTGCACGATTGATTTGACTTCACATATTTCTAGCAACTCACTGCTACCCTTCAAATCCTCATAAGCGATCTTATGGTAAGTACGGTGAGTGTTACGTTAAGCAGATAAGAGGAAAAAACGAATGTTTGGTGCCATTCGCAGTATTTTTTGACCATATAATTCCTTCAGTAGACTCTCATTCGGAGGACATTGAAGCTCCCCCTGCGAGACGAACTCCACCTTCTGGCACGGTTGATGTGAACATGTAAGCTTTAACATTCAGTGGTTCAATTCGAAATTGAAATTGCTGAAAAGCAGTCAAAATTCACATTCGTTCGGATTTTTAGATTGGGACATGTTAGTGGCTAATGAAACTACATATTTTGTGCAACATTTCATTTGTTAAAATAGCTCTTTCGACCTATTCTGGATGTTTCGTCGCTACCGGTGAACGATAGGTATTGGGGTGGATCTGCTTGTGTTATCTACTGTTCTGATTCTTTGTATTTCTAGAAGGAAAACTTTTCTGCATGTTATTTGACTTGTTGTTTTTGTTTAGCGTTTTTCGTCGCAGTAGCTGTTGCGAAGCTCTTTCAGGAAGACCAGGCTACCGCTAAAAGCTCAGTCACGAGCGGAACTGAAACCAATTTGTTCTTTACGGTCATCCTTTTCTTATCCCCTCACTACCAAGGCCCGCTTGCTCTTCCCTCCTTGGTTACATTTACATTTATCGTAGCTTATCAACACGTACTTATAGTATGATGAGCTAGCTGGTCAGCTGACATCAGCAGCCTTACAAAAATTGCGCGTTGTAGGCAAATCGTTTAGTCGCGTAGAACTTGGGTTCGAGTCCCACCCATGATTTAACGTTTTGCCCATAACTTTAGCGAGTTGACTGTGAGTGCACAAGAAGGTACATCTTTCAGCCCGACTGACATACAGATGGATGAAGGTGAACCATGCTGTTCATCTAAAGCACTTCTCTCCGATCGTAACGGCGAAGCCATGGCTGAATTCAAGAATGGCGCTGTTCCTGAGCCTGCTGACGGGGGTTTTATTGATGACGGTGTAGTATTGGGTGGTGATTGTAGTACGACCATTGTAGAAGAGGAATTCACAGAAGATGATGAAGGTTGGAAAAGAATTGCTGTACTTGTGTCGCAAAAACAAAACAGATAGTACTATTTTTTAGATATCGAGGTGGAGAGCGAGGCAAAGCGCGCTGAAGAAGAGGCTAGAATTTTGCAAGAGTGAGTTTTCGCTTTTGTTGTGATCTTGACATTTTCTTTCGATCATTTTCCTCTAGATATCAGAAGTACAATGAGATTATTGAATTCGGACGATCCATCCATTCGTTGTCACTGCAGATACCAAATTTGAGTGGACCGACGAAAGCTCTTCTAAATGTAAGCTGTCATGTATTATTTCTCATTATTGAATATTCGATTGCTCATACTTACTTTATCGATCAGGATGCGTTAGCAACCATATGCATTTTGGACTATTCTCAATTCGAATCACATCACCTGTTAAGTGAAGAACATTTGAAAGATTTGGCCAAACAAACTGCGGCGGCCATATTAGGTCAGTGTGCTTTTCCCAGTAGCAGATGTAGCTCAACTGTATTTTTTAATTGTGTTATGTAATAAATTACGGTCACTTCTTCAATCTCTTTTTCTAGAGTTCGGAGGAAGGAGCTCGATGTCTCAGTTATCTCGTTACATTCATTTATGGATCAAAATGCAGACAGAGCTCACCAATGCCATGGTTCCGCATTGTGCATTCACTGATCTCGCACAACTGGTATTTTCCACTTCGTAATGCTCCTGTACGTCAGTCATTTTGACGACTTTGTTGTAGGTATTCGGCAATTCTAGCCACTTGGCAAATTCCGGTGGAGGATCAACATCAACGGCTCAGGACGATTCAGCTATGGTCGTGGGATAGTCCTATTTGAATAACGAGTACTAGTAAGTTTTCAAGGATTAAAATGCGCTTGGAAAATGGGCTGGTTGTCGTTCACTTGTCGTTTGCTTGACTGTAGCAGTTACGGGACGGAACTTTTCAATGTTGCAGAGAGTTGGTGCTCATCACAGAATGATGCCCTTCAACGTTCACATGACATGTTTTCGTGGCAATTGTATTCTTGATGACGAAAGAGTTACTACGGAGCTTTGACGCGCCGAACTCAATAAGAAGCGATAGCTGTGCCCCTGCGTCGTACATCATATGTATAGCTCCAACTCCGTCCCATGAACCGCTTTGAGACTTCTCTGTTTATTTCTCACTTTTATCTTCGATCGACTGCTACTGACCTTTCTCGCAAAACATAGGCTCCCTTCGTTTACGGTGCCTTAGTCCCTCTACCGTGTTATGTTACCGTCATGTCGAAAAGTTTGACAGCCTGTAGCAGTTCGCCTAATGTAAACTCACCCATACGGGATGCAATAGCCGAAGCACAACCACGCGATCATATTGAGCTGCGAGTCTATTTTCGGCACCAAATGTACATGTCTTATGTGTCGACTGATTTTTGCATTTTAAAGGTTTACTGCCTTGCTAGCATCACTACATAATTTTTCTTTGCACGTCACAAGTCCCATTACCATTTTATACGTTCTCCTTTTTACCTCAACCCCTTGGGCACATGCATCATTGAAAACGTTTCTGTGATGTCATTGCCCTCAGGAAGTTTTCTACATGAAGAATAGATCCTGTGTGAGCATTCTGCCTTGTCAGTGCTCTTCAGTTCTGTATGGCTCGATTAATGGGTCGAATGATCATCTACTTCCATTCAGACAACTTTTTTCTCTGATTTGCGCCTATGTTTCTTGTTCAAACTCCGGTTTTAGTGATTTGCTGTGAGAACAAAGCGCTCTGTTTGTCGATTATAGCGCTATTCATTTTGTCATGTGCTTTTATTCCCTAGATTTCGATATACCAAATCTTTCTGTTTGACGTGTTCGTAGAACGATATCAGTGTTCTACCTTGACTCAGTCTACATTGCCTGATACCTTTCAAGTTGTTTATTTGATTTGCACTGCTGCGGCAGGCGTTTATGTCCATTCATGAAGGAGTTGAAATGTTGCTCTCCGATAATTCTTCTAGTTTCGTTCATGTGATAAACATAATGGATTATCTTATGTATGTTCTGGTGTTGTTCAAAGCGTTTCATCGCACCCGCTTTTATTATTTTGTTCTCGTTTTCATCTGTGGAAAAATACCACCATACAGGCGAAGCAGACAAAATGCAGGTCCCCGTAAATGGATGTCGCAGGCGATTCGTCTCTGTACAAGGACAAAATCATAATGGCACCTATGGTGCGAGCAGGACGTACACCATTGAGGTCTTTGTTTTAACTATGTTTTAAAGAGCGTAAAAGTTAAAGGTTAAAGGCAGTGAGCATTCGAGGAAATGTGGCTAATGCCGTTAGAAAGTTATAAGTTAGTGGAAGGTAATAAATTTGAGAATAATCGCAGAAGCTGATCACAATTTTCGTGTAGCCGCGTGCTCTAAAGGGCAGGGTAAAAAATTTTTGTAGGAGTGAGAAGAAGATATCCCAGAAGGGATTGACATTGTAGACAGTAGGAGCCCTTGTTCAGAAGCTTTCCGGCATTTCCCTAGCTGCGGTGGAGAAGGACCGTTTTTTCGCTGCGCGAATACCTCCAACGCTACAGCAGTTCCTATTGAAACGAGATATGCAGCTGGAAGGAAGGAATAAGCACAAAGCAAAAAGTTTTTTCTATTTTCAGTGTTAACGAAATCTTGGCTAGTTTCGCTGACGGCAAATGTGAATGTTAAGGCAATTTCCAATGGAGTGAATGACCACCGTTTGAAAAGATGTTTGACGCGTGGGAATTGAAGGCGATCGGCTATTATTGCGGATTATTCTATTATTCAAACCTGTTGTGTAATTTGGTTAACGCCTCGTATATATAAGGTGTCCTGAAGTTATGGGCGCTGAAATTCAGGAACGGCAGGATCAGTCTCTTTCACATGGTGAAGGCTCATTCGCATTCGCTTGCAAAAGGCGGAAGGGCATAGTAAATTTTTTTTTGTGATTTCAATGCTAACCATAGAGAAGGCTGCTAGACGACAAGTAGAAGCGGAACCAATCAAAGACTAACTGAGAAACAGCAGAATGGCTAGTGTCTAGGAAGATTAAATTGTTAGATTAGTCCGTTTGCGAGTCGATCGTGATTCGGGGTGACCCATGAAAAAGGAAGCAACAAAGTTGTCGATGTGGCAGATCGTTAAGCAGAAGCTTCATTACCATAACTATCGTGTGCAGAGGTTACAAGATTTTTTTTACGTCAAAAGCAATGTTCAGAGTGAGCAGAGTGATGAGCGGGCCATCTGCACAACTATGCTTAGAGTTCCTCGATTCAAGAAAGTGCAGCGATAATTCTTGGTCCTAAGCTCCGTCAAAGANCAGATCGTTAAGCAGAAGCTTCATTACCATAACTATCGTGTGCAGAAATGACAAGAATTTTTTACGTCAAAAGCAATCCTCAGAGTGAGCAGAGTGATGAGCGGCCGTCTGCGTCATTCAACACGCTGCAAAAAGAACTGGTCCTAAGCTCCGTCAAAGATCTAAGATAGTTGATTGAAAAGGGGCTGTTCTGAAGAGATCTTTAAGGACCCTAAGGAATGAAATTGTTTGAGTCAGAGCTTCCACGCCATTTTGTGATAATCGTTGGATCAAGACGGCTGCTGAATGTATTCCCAGAGACGTCTGACGAATCCTAGAGGACCATGCTCACATTGACCTAAACCTATTTACCTGCGTGCATACGAACACACTCACTTACAAGATGTGGAGATGTAGAGTAATATCCTTTTTATATATAAAGCGCTCGCGTCTGTCCGCTTGTACGATAATTCGATATTACCTGAAGTAGCACCTGCAGAAGTCGGGTCAATTTTGGGTTGAGTTCGGCATAGGGCAAAACCAATAGAGCACATGTGAGCTCAGCGGAGCTCCGCCTACATACAGGGGGAGGGGCATGCACGACAGTGGGCGGTGTTTTAAGCAAACTGTCTAAATTAGGTTTCATAACAGCCCAGACGCCGGGAAAAAAGGTGAGAGATGGGTCAACAAGTGGAGTGAAGGAAACTTGCCGTCGGCGGGTGGAGCGTTATCGCAGTACGCGGTACCTATCACTTAAGACCATAACTCGATCCAAGGGAAGCGTGGAGGCCAGAAAAAAAAATAAAGGAAGTGAGCAAGGCCTCATGCGTGTTTGGCACGCGTAAGCATGTCGAAGCTCCACCCACAGTGGGTGGGGCGTGCATTCAGATGTTAGGTCCTTTTTGAGAAAATTCATAACTCTCTTCAAAAGCGTTCTACAAGTACAAGAAGAACGGTCTTCATGGTGGGCAACCTCAGAGTAGGCCATAGGTAGATTTTGGGTTCTGAGCCGAGTCGTATCATTTTGTGCACCTCACCATCCCGTTCGCCTCAAGAAAGGGTTTCTTAACATTCCCTGGATCGATATGTGCGTGCATTGACCGACCATATACTGCTTCAACAGAATTTCTAGATGTTAGTTCACCTGTAACAGCGCATTTCCGGTATTAAAAGTGGGAACAATATTCTCCGAATGTGAAGAGGGTATTTTTCTCGAAAAGTTCTGTTGTAGATGAATCATTCAATCGCTCTCTATCGAAAGTAAGTGGCGTTACCTTACACTCCGTTCTTGAGTGGTCGAGGTAGGGGGTGGGGCACCTACATTTGGTCAGTAGTGGTTGAGAAAATTTTTCTTCGCTTATCATTCCCGAGCTGCTCAGTCAAGGAAGGTCGTAAATAATTAATGTGAAGCACAAAACCGCTCTATAAAAAAAAGAACAAAACGAGCTGTACTCCGGGTACTAGAACCTTCACGTCACGGCTACGACTCCATCGCACTACCACACCGCTATTGTCGCACAATACAAAGTGAATCTCCAAATGATACAGCCACCCCTAATTTCTCCAAAAACTCACAGTTCACGATGTTTCTAAAAAAACGGTGAAGTAAAAAGTGCGCCAAATCTGGATTGCCATTCGCATATTAGCACCAATTTCTAGCTCAAGCACATTTTTCCTTCGTCAAATTTTCAGTAAAAGGTGCTTTTCCAACGTCTCCAAATGATACAGCTACTTCATGTCTTCGTGTCGTATTTTAGTTCAGCGTAACGAGATTGGTTCGTTTGTGTAATGTTCTTCATTCAAAGGCAATGGTAGAGGAAAGTTGCTTTCGGAATTCGAGAAAGGTCGAACTTTCGCGCAAAGGGGCAGGGACTGTCGAATCGCAGAATTGCGCGAGATTAGAGTCGATGTGAGCAGTTGTGGGTAATTTCATCAAGAATCCTGAAACCTATGAGGAAGAAGTGCTGGACGTCCTTCGCTACTGCCGGACAGGGAAAAGCGCAGTATTTTGAGAGAAAAGTCGAACTCCACCAAGTCTTGCTGGAAATTTGATCGTCTCTGCACCTCAATGCCTCCGAAACACTGTTTGGAAGGTGATCTCAAAGTCGAAGTTTATCGTCAAGCGGGAAATGCCTACGGCGCCATTCATGACAAAAATACATCGAGAAAATCGGGTCGCTTTCGCGAGAAGGTGCAGCCGAACCGAGTGGAATGAGGTGTTCTTCATGTGCTGACATTTAACCTTCCTTTTCTTGATGGTTATTTTTATGAAAGTTAAAAGAAGTTCAATTGTGATGGTCCAGACGGAATCGGTTCTATAGGCACAACCTTAGGAAGGAAAGCCTTCAGTTTTCTAGACGGGACTTCAAGAGAGGGGAGACATGGTTTGGCCCCAGACTTCATTGAGTAGGAGTGACCTTTTATGTTCTGTACCAAAGAAGAACTCTACCTTATATCGAACTGTTATGCGCCGCGCACTTCTACCTTTTTGGCGTCAAAATCAGCACCAAATGCCCAAATTCTTGTTTTTGTGCAAGATAACGCCCCAATTCACATCAGCAAGCGCACACTAGCTTGGTTCTCTCGGCATCGGATTGCACTTCTCTCGTGGCCGGCGAGCAGCCCCGATTTGAATCCGATGGAAAATTTATGAGGCTTCATGGAGCGGAACATTTACTCCCAAAACAAGCAATTCCGAGGCGTCAAAGGGTTGAAAAAGCCATCTCGAAGCATGGTACCAAGTTTATCAGGAGGTGATTGATAGTCTTTATTTAAGACGTATTTTCGAAGTAATTCGAAGGAATGGTGGACCAACTGATTATTGACTTTGCAACTTTCTCTTCTTGTTGTACGTGTATTGTTAGATATATTAACCCTTTGACGACAACGCGGATTTCGACGTGACGCGCCCATGGGACCTCGCTCCCCTCCTTTCGCACGCGACTGGCACACACCGGTGGGTGATACTGTCTCAGGGGAAAATTCTTTCACTGGCTTACTGAATTCAGCAATTGGTAAGGAACAAGAAAGTATGGTGGCTCCCAAAATTCGGTGCCAATGTCTCATGTGCCAGACGTAGTAGCACCCACTGGTGGGTGCCATTGTCGTCAAAGGGTTAATGTTGTTAGTGGCTGTATCATCTGAAAACGTTGGAAAAGACCCCTTTACTGGAGAATTGACAAAAAAATGTGTTTCCAAGCTGGAATTTGGTGATAATGTGCGGATTGCATTTCAGTTTGATACATTTTTTACTTTGGCACTTTTTCAGAAACATCGTATACTGTGAGTTTTTGGAAAAATCAGGGGTGGATGTATCATTAGGAGACACACTGTGGTGCGCTGCTCGGTTCGGTTATAAGTTTGACACAGTGGTATAACACAATAGCAAAAATATTTCATAACTTCGTTTCCAGTAACGTTCAGCAGACTTATAAGGCATTCTTGGGGAAGTTGAGATCGGCGTTTGAACCACCTGCGGCGGCGGTAGAGATCTCATCTTGAATGGCCACTGCGACCAAGTATCCTTTCACTTTCAACTTAGT